TAGTTAAAGTCTTCACCTAGATTTTTAAAAATATTATACTACAGTATTTTCTTCTGATCCTTTCCAGATCAAGCAAAGAACCACACGCGTCTATTTTCTTACAAGACTTTCAAAAACCACTGCTTAAACGAAAACAAAAATGAGAAACATTTCCCTCACATAGAAATAATGAGTTTTCTCATGAAAGCCCAAAAGAGCAAAGGAATTTCTAAGGCTTTCCTTCACTGCAGACCCTTATCAGGCTCGGCTGCGAGTCAGTGCACGCCTTGTGCACAGCTGTTTTGCTCAGGAAGGGGTCAGCGGTCCCTTGGCCATAGGGTAGACCCAAAGCAATGTGACTTGTTATTCCCAAGATAATTACAGGAAAATTGCACACCACAAGCAATCTCAGCAGCCACGATGGGACAGTCATTCCATTTCCCCAGGCACTTGTCCATCTGCAAAACTGGTAGTGAAGCTGCTGCTGCATGTATCCCTGCAGTTTGCCACTTGGGTTTTCTCCAATGGCACTGTGTTAGACACCACAGAAAAGTAACCGGTGCCAAACCTCAGTGGCACTGAAGCTCTGGCTCAGGCCAAGCTCAGGCCACAGATGTCTGCTGGCAGTGCCACGGGCATGATCTCCAACCAATACACCTGTGTTGGCAAAAGCTCTTGTGCAAGTAAAACAGCAAACCTGCACTTTGACTGAGAATAGTTTTAGTCTTTATTCCTACATGGCCTGTGGTAAACTGCACTGGCTCATATCACCAACTATATCCAAACTCAAAAGCTTTCTCCTGCTATGGAGCAAACCTGGATTGAGGAGTCCCCCCTTTCCCATAGGACACCACCCAGATACTCCCTCCTCTCCAACTTCTGAGTTATGGAGTATGCAGACAGCAGCACTGACATTCATGTAAATGACAGAAGGAATGCTTTTCTCATGCTGACTTCTCTCTTTCAGCAAACATCCGACCTCCAGTTTAGGAAAATCAACCTTAGGAGTTTTTCTAAAAATAACTGCTATCAGATAAATCTACTTGTGGCCTTGGGATGTTTTCTTTTTGCCTCTAGTATGCTGTCTCATATCCTGAGCTATTAGTGCAAGTACTGCTTTGACTGTTTCAAAATAGAGATGGGTCAGGAGATAAAAAACGTTTAGCATTTAAGAAAAAGCAACACCTGTTACAGGTTACCCACAGACTGGCAAACCAGGTCACCCCAAGGCACAAACTGGTGAGTTCCCCTGCAGCAATTGTGCTTACTCCATTGCTAAGGAATAATTATTAGAAGTTCATCTTTAAGAAATTAATATTTTCTTTCATCAGTGATTTTGAAATACAATGAAAGATTCATGATGAAGCTCCTAAGCCAGTGTCAATTATGGAAAATCCTGTAAGAGGAAAAGAATTTATACTAGCTGATGGTTTGCCCTCTGCTCCTATAATTACCTCACCCAGATGATGAGATGTAAGATAGAGCTCTGACGGTGTTTTCTGAAATTTGACACAATTAAGCAGTTTAAAGATTTTTTTCAAATTTGGGTATCACTAACAAGGTTTTAGTTCTCTTCCTCGTGTCTTTTCCTTGGTGATAATCAGGAGGATATATTTGGATTCACTTAAGAACACAACCCTGCTGTTTACTAGGAGGCTTCTGCAGCATCTGGCACCAGCCCTGCTCACTGGCAGGGAGCAGACCTCAGGGTGGGAGGGGGAGTTCTGCTTTCTGTAGAGCTTCTCACTCATCCCAGGGATGCTGCTGTGGTGTCATGGTGAAAAAATGTTGGCTTTGCTTTTGTTGGTCAATACTGAAAAATTATTCCTGACATTTCTGCTGTGTGTTTTGGAAGAAATCTGTTTCAGTCTTGGACTGTGTTTTTAATTGAAAAACAATTACATCCACCTAAAGTGCTTAGTTAAGATTTCATTTGTTTAATCTATTGGTTTGTTCAAGGAAATTTTAAAAAATTAGAGTAGTAAGTTTATCAAGCAGGCCTGTGTCTGGATTAAATTAAAATTGTCTTCCATTCAGTTACTCAAATACTTTCCTGATCACTCATTGAGAATATTACATTTTCCCTTCTTCTTGCGGTTTCTCTTTCTTGCTTGTGGGTGGAATTCCAAGTCTTCCTCTGATAGAAGCTTGTGGCATTGATTTAGCTGGCCTACACTAAGTGCACAGCACATGAGACAGTGGGATGTTATAACTGTGCTATAAATGCATGGGTATGGGTATACTTAAGCATCAGAACACAATGTTCTACTTAATGTCACTTAATACCTGGATCTGGATAACTGGAACACAGGAACTGACAGTAGCTGCTGTTCAGATGCCATCATTGTTGTTTTGCTCACACCAGGGCTGCTGGAGGCCTGCAAGGGAGGCAGGGCAGGGCAGGAGCTCTTCTGAGCTCAAGTTAAGCCATGAAACCTGTGAGGGATTCCCAAGCCATTGGGAAGTGCTAGCACCACTGAGTGGTCACCATCAAGGAAAGCATTATTCATCATTCATTTGCACTCAGGCTGGTGTGGGAGCAAAGAAAGGAGTGGGACAGGAACTCAGGGTGATACATCTAATAACTGGCATTTCCATAGATTTAGGACCTTGTGTATTCCTCAGGGAGCCTCTTGGGACCCTTCAAGTCTGATTTCTAGGAGTCTTTGGCTCTTAAAGGGAATATCCTGTTTGTCTTGGGTTGAAAAAAAAAATAGTCTGGGTAGAATAACCTAAGAATGATAGAAAAATTCTTGGACTGTATTTCTCAAGAAATTGGGTAGAATCAGCTAGTTCCTTCTTCCAGTCTCAGGCTGTCTTGTTTGTTCAAGTCTACTTAGGGTTTTTTGTGATAGTGGCAATACTGGATGAATTTTGTGCTGAATTCATTATCAGTGCAGGTTAGGACTCATTATAGCCTTGCTGTAAAACTGCCCTCTTGTTGTCATATCCGTCCCCTGCCTAATTCATTACTCTCCATCAAGGTCAGGTGACAAGTGGGTGCCAAGATGCAAAGGTCTACCACCACAGCAGCAGCTGTGAGCATGCACAACAGCAAATCCTGAAGAATTTACTGGGAAAAAAACCACAAGGAAAACAAGAACTTGGAAATAAGCAACTGTTTTTTCCCCAAGATTTGCCTTATTATCGAATACTGTATGGTTTAGGTTTTTTAAATGCTTTTGAGAAATAGATATGGATATTTTCTAATCATCTTCCAAAGTCAGTTTGCTGAGAAAAAAGCAACATTTAAATTGATAGATTGGGGTGTGAATATATAAAAATCTCTTTTGGAGCCTTTTGCATTGTATATAGAATGGTTTGGGTGTTTAAGCTGATTCTGTAAAGCTAGCTTACCAAGAAATACTAATGAAATTACCATTTTGATCCAGCTGATTCTTTTCCTCAGCAATTATCAACTCTGTAGCAAGTCTGCCCCATTTGTGCTGCTCTTTGATTAAACTACTCTTGAGAAACTCCAGACTGCTAGATTATTAAGCTAGTAAAAGCTTTTTTTAATAAAAGGAACTGTATGACATTTGATTTTTATAGCTCGTAAAGATATTTGGAAATATTTGCTTTCTTCTTCCATTTATTTTGTCATTTTTGAAACCTTTGTGTTAAACTGAGTGTCATAAATAGACTCAGCAGCCAGTAAATCCACTGGGCCTTCTGCGTACTAGGAAAACATCTGCCTGTTCTGCCGTGCTCACAATGAGCTCCAGAGATTTCCCTGACTCAGACAAAATGAGAAAATTAACTTCTTTGACAAGCTAAAATCACCCACTTAATTCTTTTCCAATTATCTTTCCTCCTATTCCTACTTTATTCCAGCCTCTTTCTGATTTTTCAACTTGATCTAAGTACTCTTTTGTTGCTGTATTATGTTCAGTATGAGTTTGAAGCTGCAGACCAGGATGCTGTCATGGTGCCTGCCTGCGAATCACTTGTAAGACAGAACTGGATTTCCTGTTGTTTTTGCTGAAACTACTAAAATTGTAGTAGTTTCTGTTTCATAGAAGCTGTTTTGGGGGGGCAGGAGGGGAATTGCAGCATGTAGTGACAGGATGTCACTTCCCCAAATTTACTCCAAATTAAATTTTTAAAATTGCAATTCATAAGTTATTGTACAGATGAGGCTAGTAATAGCTTTTATGCTTTACTTTGGTTCGGAACAGACAACCTGGAAAAGAGCTTCCCCCCTTTTTGGATGGAAGTTGGTTTTTCTTTTCATTATTGGAAAGGGAATTGTTTCTTGAACTGAGTTTTATTTATATGTTTTTTAATTTGGTTTCTTGAACTTTGAGTACGAGGTGAGCACAGGAAGTATCAGTTTTCTGGCTGTGAGGGTGGGTGGGTCACTGTTGGCAGCAGAGGCCTTTGAAAAGTTACAGAAAATAAAGCTTTGACTGTTCAGAGCTATTTTAATGCATTCAGTGTTCTTTACAGACTGGAAGTGATGAGTACATCAAGTTACAAGTGCAGATTTCTAAGAATGTTTGATACAAAATGATGTTGTTACACTGGACTGCAAGAAGGTCTAAGAGTGAGTGCCTTTGGGGAATCCTGCTTCAATAGCCATGAAAAACAAAAAAAGGAACTGACTCTTTGTTTTAAACATAAAATTTAATCTATAATTAAATAGCTAAAAGATAGAGATAAAAGAGAAGGGGGACAAATTGAAGAATGAACTTGAAGGTGTATTGGGAGAAAAACTGCATCTAGGCTCAATGAAGATTTTTTATTAATATTTAAGCATTCGTTAAATAATTTTCTCTGACTAACATTATTTCAGCAGTCAAGGAACTGAATATCCTTTACTGCTGTTGAATAAACTCTAAAAGTCAATCCCTTGAACAGCTGAAGATGTCAAATAAATGTGTAATCATGCAATCAGATTGAATTCTGGTGCCGGTGAGCAAACAGCTCAAGGTTTTAAGTATTGCTATTCACGACAAGCTTGTTTTTTATGTGATACAGGCTGTGTTGCTAATCAGATGTGGTATGTTTCTGTCTTGCAGATTTACCACTGGATTATAGATTTACACGATTTTCCTCAAATAGTTCAGCAACTGCTGGGTACTACCCAAGCCCTCCAAGAGCACTGCTGCCAAATGAGGACTCAGTGATGACAAAATAGGTTCTCAGCTTTTTCCTTAGATAACCCTGTGACCCTTACTTAAACTGCTATCAAATGCTAATTGCTGAAAATGCTGTGTGATGCTTCATAAAATAGAGTGATGGATTAAAGCAGACTCCTGTGTAGATTTGTGTTTCACTTGTTTCTCTAGTCCAGCTGGAACAGGTGAGTGATGCATCCTTCTCTCTAAGTCTTCTGATCACCACTACCTTTCACAAAGTGCTGTTGGCTTTTTCCATGCACTGCCCACAGCCTTCAGGAGAAATGTAAGAGTAAAAGCTCATCCTGAGTTACGTTCTACATTTTTGAGGACATTTTAGGTTCTCTCCCTCAGCCATATTTCAATTAACAGTTGCCTTGGGCAGCCCAGGTTATCACCATACACCAATGTTTTGCAAGCTCTGAGGAATTAAATCTCCTGCTGTTCTTGGAGCGAAAGAAAGTCTGAGTCCCAAAGAGAAAGATCATCATACTCAGAGAGAGATTTGAATGGGATTTAGGCAACTACATGCAGACTGATAATTCAAAAAGCCTTTATCATACTTGGTATTCCTGAAAATGCCTGACCACTCTTCAGCCATAAGGTTCCCTATATGCCTTTTCCTCTTTTAGCCTGCAATACCTCAAGCATCAGAGCTCTTCTGCAGAAGGAGGGAAACCTGCCTACATTTCCCTTCTCTGATGGAGTGGATTCAAACCTGCATTCTCCACCTCCCTGGGAAAACCTCCCAAGGGCAGGAAAGCTGTAGCAATCAGCCATCTTTGCTAATTACAGCCTCAGCCAGAAGGGGAGCAAGACTCAAGGCATGAACTGAACAAATGTGATTCTTACCTGCTTATTTAAACAAACAGGATCCTCTTCTCTGTGGATTTAGGTTCAAAGACCTGTTCTCCAGCACTTAGGACAGGAAGAACTCAGTAACTAACACAGATAGCAGATGCAAAAAGATGTCAAATATTTGTTTAGTCAGCAGTTTTGCCACACTAGGATAGTAGATTTTTGGATAAACTGCCCTCAAAATTTAAAGAACAATAAGCAGAAACTTAATTTTCTTGTTTCCAAGGAAGAGAACTCACTTTGTTAGGCCTGAATAATTACCAGAATGGATTTAGCTTGTGTCGCCACAGCTCACTCTGTATCTTTGTGGCTTCACTGGCTAAAATATTCTCTGTCAGAATCAGACACAAACACTTTTCCAACTCATTTCAAAGATACTGGCCTCTGTCTGCATATTTTTTTCTGCCTTTACATAACATGTTATTTTTATATTCTTGTGGACCACTATACTTGCAAGAAATAAACAACATTTCCAAATAGCAAACAACATTTCCAAATAGCATTAAGCATTGGTTTGTTGAAAGGGAAGCATAAAACAAACAGGGACAAAACGGAGAAAAACTTCCTTTAAGATAAGGTGAATGAGGAATGAAAATGAAAGCACCATTCACCTCATAAAATACAGGGTGAAAATATTTTACTTAAGATGATAACAGTTAGCAAAATTTGAGTTTATTTGGAAATCTTTTAATTAGCATCAATGTCTTCAGCAGTAAATCTGGCTCATGACAGTGCTGTGAGAGCACTGAGAGAGATACCCAGATTAAAATCTCAGATTCCTGATTACAGCATATTTGAAATTCTAGCCTGGATCAAGTAATCTTCTGCAAATAATTTCTAACTAAGTTATGGTGCAAACCCATATTGTGTACCCTCACACTTCTGTTGTTATGAATTTGGAACTGATTTTTTTAGGTTGGGGATTTTTTCCTTGATTTTTAAAAGAAGATTAATTTAATTGCTATGGAAAATCAGGCTAAAAATCTTCTAAGTCCTTGGGTCCTGGTGTCTCAGTGGAGAAGCAATATTTTTTTTAATGGAAAGGTGGCAGATTCTAAGGACAGCCTGAACACAAAGCTCACCAGAAGAAATGCATGTGCCCATCTTAGACAAAGGTGGTCACCAGCCACTTGCACTTGCTGCCAGAAGGACCTCACCTCACAGTAGCAGAGAAAGAAAAGGATAACAGAAAGCTGCTGTAAGCATGACTCCATGTGCCTCTGTAGTCTGTGGCTGCAGGAAGACTTGGAAAAATAACTGATGTGGTTGTCCAAAAAGTAGAGTTCCTCTTAAAGACTCTTCTATTCAAGAATCTGTGAAAATTATTGAGGTCTTATTACAAAGCAGAGATTGGCAATGAAGGAATGAGCAGGGAGTTGGTACTGTGGCAAGAGGAAAGCTATTGGAAATGGTGTGAAGAAATAGGGAGAGGAAATGCACATGGCAGAAAGTTGGTAGAGAGCTCGCCATATTTAATATGACATTGTAAAGACACTATCATTGCTTTTTCCTTATTTCTGTCTCTCTTCTTTGTTTTTTTTAACCCCTGGAAATCTCTGAAATTTTTTGGATTCTCTTGTGAGAGGCCATTGACAAAAAGATTGCCAAAGTGCCTGCAAAACTATCTTGAGCATTGGCAGGGAGACATAAAGTAAAATTTCCTTGAAATCCCCGTGTCTGGTTAGACAACCCTGAAAGCCACAGTTTTGCTTAAAACCAGAGATGAATACCAAGTCTCCTTTGGTGTCTGTTTTGGTATAAAGCACATGTGTCTGGATTTTAAAATAAAGAGAATTTATTTCTGAAAAAAAAATGTTCCCTGAATTTACTTTATAGCTGAGCAGCAAAATGAGAAAGGGGAGATAAGCTTGTCTCAAAGCAGTGCAGGGAGAGGTTTTGCTACAGCCTCAAACAAAACAAAATTTAATCTGCTCAACATAAGACATAAAACAACCAAAGACATTAATAAATTAACACCTTTAATACTGATAGGGCAGTAATCTTTGATGCACAGAAGAGCTCAGTGCAGGTTTCCTGACTAGAGCTGCTTTGTGGGAACTGAAGGCTTCTTCATCCCCAGTGAGAAGCTAAATAAACAAAGGCAGGCAGATCGTCTGTGGTGACCATGGGGCACTGCTGGACACAGGATTTGCCCCTTCCCCATGGGAATGATGGGGCTCTCCAGCTCATCTGAGCCCCAGATCTGTGACCGTGCAGTAGCAATTCTTAAGGGAATTCCCAGGAAAATTTGTCTGATGACAGGCACCAGGAACCAGCATTCCCAAATCTAGTTTAAGTCTTTCCTCCTGTGGTCAAGTATGCACTAAATCAAGCCAAGGTAAACAACAGCAGAGTGTAAGAATGTTACTTAGCAGAGATGGCACCAGTGGGAAGGTGACATCTGAACTTCCCTTTTTCCACCACGGGGATCAAAAACACAGTAAGCATAAAACATATACATGAACTTGATGTTTTACACAAGTTTTACACAGTTTCTCAGAAAGTCAGGTTTAGAAATAAAGCCACCTCTGTGCAAGCAGGTAGAAGAACCACACCCTTCACCACAGGGATCTGACAGGAAGATGTAGCTTTGGAGTTCCCTGGGAAGGGAGCATGGCAATGGGCAGCCTGCTGCTCCTCAGCCTCACAGAAGGAGCAAGACAGGTTTTACAGAATATTTAAGCGATTTTAAAACAAAATCTGCCTCCTTCTTTACATATGCCTGGAGGTAAATAGCATTTCAGCTGACTCATGGCATAAGATTTAGGGGGGAAAGCACATGGCTAAGCTACAGGAACCTTACCTCTGTGGAGAGTGCCAGCTGTAATGGTATAATGGCTGAAATGGTGTAGCCACAGACATCTATTGTTAACAACAGGCCAGAAACCAGCCCTTCCAGCAAGCACATAGCTGACCCAGAACCCCCAGGGGAAAGGCTAAATCCCATTATAAATCCAGTTGCCTGTAATTTTGTTTTCTGCAATTCTAAGTGGAACATCAAACCCCCTTGGTGAGTCACAGGAAAGAAAAAAAAAATTAAAAGAGGTTTTCTTTTGAATGTTTCTGGTGCAAGAAACAAATCCTGTTTTTTGGTAAGCATTATAAATAGAAATGTTTAACTGGAAAATAGAGCCTGGATTAGGGACAAAATAAGATGGAATCCAGGAAGTTAAACAGACTCGGTGATTTCCAGCCCTAAAAGCCTGCTAGCATCTTTACAGAGCAAACTGGGGATTCCTGTCTGCAGGACTGTGGCCAGCATGGCTGGTCATGTTCCTGAATATGGGACAAAGGTGTGAGGTAAATCTTTCCAGTATGAAGCGGGTACCCACGGCTGTTCTGTGGCAGCCATGGCAAGACCACAGAGGTTTCACAGCTGGCCAGATGTCACAGTTCACAGAAGGGCAAACATCTGAAGCAGCACGTTTAACTTCTGTCCCGCTGCAGCTAAACTGATTTAATCAGAACTGTGCTAAAAATCCCTCATGCCTCCCACTCCCGCTGCCGCAGCGCACACGTGGCTCTCTCACACATGGCCATAACAACTTTTAAGTGCTTGCACGGGGGTGAGAAACCATCACAGCCACTTCAAAATGATGTGATGGCTTCCAGCCCCTTCTGCAAATTAGAGGGTGCGAGACACAAAATGGTAGCAGCACAAACAGCAGCTCCAACAGCCCAGCCAGAGCAGATTCTCCAGCCAGAAAGGTATTTCTGCTTTCCACTGGCTACTAGATTTTGAGTAAAAACACTTAAACTCTCCATTTGATTCCTTCTTAAAAGGAACTTACATTCCTTTTAAGAGTGAAGAAAATCATAAACCACCTTACACTGTATACAGGAAAAAAAAAAAAGGAAAAAAAAGTGTTCTTGTTCTAAGTTTATGAGAGTGATATTTTGAGGGTGTATTTTAGGAAATAAGCCCATTAACTTTCAGTAGACCTTGTTCTGTCACAACACTAAATGAACTCTAAAAATTGAGACTCTGTGTGCCTAATAAATTTATATTAAATGATTAATTTCTAAAGCCTCCACAATCTCTGAGGAATAAAAGTACAGGTGAATATAGCAATTATTTTCTTGCCTTGTCTCAAAATAATTCCTGAGAGTTTCAGTTTCTTTCTATGTCATCCCCTGTAACCTCAGCCCGCAATGAAAAATTAAATGTGCACTCCTGGGTGCTAAGCAGCCTGTAAATTTTATTAAACCAGAGAAAGAGATGCTACTGTAAATTTTGTGAAAAGAAAGAATATGTTATTAAATTAAGAGATTAAAAAATTCTTTATCTTATTCTGACAGAAGCCTCAAAAATGCTTACTGGAGGGCTGCTGTTGAAGCAGCTGCAGCAATGTTGGAGATAGCAGTGTTGGAGAGAGCAGCAGTGAACTTCTTCTATCCCTGTTTTCTCCCTCAAAGCTGCCCAGAAAATGTATGCACATGAACAGTCATCAATTAAAGGGTAGGATGCCATGACATGGGAACTCAGAGACTAAGGGAATGAGGAATTATCTGTATTTCATAGGAGGGGTGGAGTTTTAGGTCAATTTAAAAAAACTAAGCACTCATAGGCAGTAAGCAGGGAAATCTCTAGACCATTAGTAGACAGATGATGGAAAATGGAGCATAAATGAAGGCCAAGAACAAAAATGGTGAGGGTCAGCATGAGCTGACAACAATAGTTCAACAGGGCAACACAGGGCTAGAGGGTACCAGGGAAAGGAGTTCACAGATATCTCAGAAAATAATAATTACCAAAATATATTTACTGTGTGGGATTTTCCTCTTTCCTCTAATCTTTCCCCTGTTACTGTGCAGGACTTGGAGATACCTCGTATATTACTGATATTAATCCATACACAAAATGAGGGGGGGAAAAGTAACCTGAATATGATTACATGAATTTAAGAAAATAGACTTAATGTCACCCTTGAGTCTTGGCTGCAGTAAATGGAACACAGTAAATCAGAGGGAGAAGATTACAAAGGGAAATGGAGAATCAGTGACAAGTTTGAATACAGTCTCTGAGACAAACCTTTTTCATGCACATAAGGAAGAGGAGAGAGACATGAGAGACATGAAACTCTAGAACTGGGGTGGGGATAAATAAGCAGCTTGTAAAAAATTTCACGAATTCCAGCAGTTGTTTTGTTGTCTGCTTGGCTTTCCACATACCAAGTGACTCCATAAAATTGGTGGATTCTAGCCTTTAAAATGCATTTCACTGAAAACAGCATTCTACAAGTGCTGTGACATATTTGGCATCCAGAGAGGGAGGTTGTGGCAGTCAGCTGTAAGAGAACACTGATGAAGTCTGACTTTGGAAGGTTCCTCTTGGTATGAGCATTAACAGTTTGTGCTCCCAGGGGATGTTGCTTGGCTTATAACATCAAAGAAATTTGGAGGGAAAGAAGTTGACACTCATCATACATGTTGAGAAAGGTCACACATTTGAAAACACAAAGTAACAACCAATTCAAATAAATAAGAAGCCACACTGCTGGAGAGTTGCCCCTCTGCAACCTGTTTTGGTCATCAGTGCAGAAAAGAAGGGATATGAGCTAAAGAGCAAGCAGGCCAGTTAGGCAGATGGACAGCTGCTAGAAGAAGATAAACCCTGTTGACATCTACAGCAATGTAAAAGCAGTAATGTGGATTTTGCTGTTTAAAGGCACAGAACAGATGATGGAACTAATTTTTTATTGGTTCAAGGTATTTCTTGGCATTTCCCATTTAAGTGCCTAAGTACCTGCTTTATGGTTAGTCTTCCTGACACGTCTCAGGACCATCAATCTGTCTCCACTCACCAACATTTTACCTCTGATCACTGATGCTGCAGCTTCCCATTCCTTAAGAAATCTGCAGGACTTTTTTTCGTCAGACTTCCTCTCTGTTGGCCTCAGGCTAAATCAGGCTGAACACATGGTGAGAGCAAGAAAGAGGGAAAGAAAGGAAATGTAAAGCAGAGAAAGAAGTCCCATTTACATACAAAGAAGAGCTGTTTAGGAAACATCTAGTGTTTTCCCCTTCCAGCTACCCTACTGATAGTTTGGCTGCTACGAAGTAGAAGAGT